CTTTGTAAATAAGACAAATATGACTCCTTTCTTATATTTCATGTGCGTTTTTAAATCAAAATTGTTACCTAAATATTCAAAATAAATTCAATTTTATGTATTTAAGTTATGATTTGCTATAACTTAATTCATTTGTCTACACGATAGACGTAGATGTTACATCCACAAGGTGTTTGGGAAACATTTTCCTGCCAGGCTTCTTCTAAAAAAAACCAACACTACAAATCTGTGTAATTGCCCATACTTGTAATCCATTAACATGATGAAATAACAGAGAAATTAGTMCTGGCTGTCTCACTAATCATCTTCTTTCGGGTGTTCCCTTCAGCAGTTTATCTGCCTCCATCTCCCACCAACCTTCACTGTCACATCAACCCTCCTTTACATCCATGAAGCCTCTCTGTGCTCCTGTCTTCCCTGTCTCTCCTGTCACACATCACTACTGACAYTGGTCCTCCTCTCCACCCTGTACTTTCTTCATCTCTCTTTTGCTTTGGACGGTGGACCCCAGTTCAGAAACYCATCCACCTTGACTATCACTATTACACCTTTATCCCCCCTTAATCAGATACATGTATTRAACTCTTTATTACATGTTGTCTTTATGTTGTCTTTCTTCTGAATGTTCTCTTCTGCAGGGGTCGTCACATTTTTTTCTGTTTTTTTTCCATTGATTGCCCTTTTGCAACCTGTGCTCAAAGCAGCAGCCTAAATTGTCTCAGTAATAAATATCATAACTGTACATTTATGCAGAAAACATCACCAAAGCAAGACAAAATTAAAGGATATTTAAGTTAATGCTGAAGTTTTAGGCTAAGATTATTTATGTTAGGAAATGACAGTACAGTCACTGAGTTCGGTTGAGTCTTGAAAATCTCACACTCAGAGTATGTGCTGAGGATGACTCATAGCTACCACCACATCAGCATAGCTCAACACAGCTTCATCTGCATGTGTAAACTGATCTGGACTCTGTGTGRCCCACATAACATCTCAGCTTACTTTGTCTGATCTCAGTTACATTTTACACAAAAAGCCGTTGGTCACATGAACCTGTGGTAAATGAAATCACATACAAGCGAGGCCTTCCTGCTCAGATGCACTGCTTGCTGACATTTCACAGAAGGATTGCTCTTCTGCAGWACCGATGAAGCYTTTTCTGGCTGAGGGTTTGCTATTTTTACCTCACGAGACCTTGTCTAAACTAGATACCRCATAGCGGTAACATAATGACCCCGGATAATCACCCCCGCACGCACAAATGCAGCAGAACTCAGAAGTCTTTGTTTCT